AGTTCTGATAAGAGCTGTTCTTGGAAAAGAGCCGTTTCTGTCAGAGTTCTCTCAGCCCCACTGACCTCACAGGGTGCCTGTTGTGGGGAGGGGAAGGGAAGGGAGTCTGTAAACTGCTCTGAGGCTCCTTCGAGTAGTGACGGGCAGGGTATAAATCCAATATCTTCTCCTCCAGGAGGTCTATGAAGATCTCCCATTATTACAAATGATCTCCCGCTGTCCAAAATTAGTTCCCCTGGAGAAAATGGCTGCCTTGGAAGGTGGACTTTTTGGCATTAAAGCCTGGTGAGGCCTGTCCCCTCCCCGAACCCCACCTTCCCTAGGCTCCACCCTCAAATCACCAGGTAGTTCCCAACCCAGAGCTGGCAACCTTACATTCAAATGTTCCCTTTTTAAAAGTAGGGTGGGTTTTTTCCCTCCCTCCAAGAGCAGAGTTGATTCTTCAGGCAGGTTCTTTGCCCAAGATTTCCAGCCTCCAAGTCGAGCCCGGAGATCTCCTCGAATGACAACTGCTCCCCAAACCACAGTGACCGGTTCCCCTGCAGAAAATGGCTGCTTGGGAGGGCGGACACTGCGGCATTCTGTTGGGACTAGGTGTGTGTTGCAAGGTCTATTCAGTCTTTGTAGGGTTAACCTGCTTTACCTTGTGTGCTGTTGTTAAGACTGACCTGGGAGGGAAACTTGGCTCAGAGTCAATGGGAAGATAGCCCAGGAAATCTAAGGCTGTTTACTCACAATCATTGGCTAATGCACTCAGGTGATTTCCTTCTAGGGGTCAAGAAGAAGATGAATCTCCAGTACAGTTGCTGTGAGACCGTGTGGTCCGTCTTTTTCTATAGCTCTGAAGATGTAGCCTTCATCTTTTTTTATTTTATAGCCTTTCCTGTGAAACCTTTCCTCCAGAAATAAAGATTTTTACATAAAAAGAAATGCCTTCCTCGCCAGTGAAGCAAAGATCCTTTGCAAACTCTTTCTTCTTCCTCTTCTTCTTCTTCTTTGAAAACTCTGCTTGAAAACCTGCCCTGTGTTTACGACGGATGGAGTATCTGATACTTCCAAGCCCACAGAGTCCCGGGGACTACCCTCGATAGCCCTTCTAAGGTTAAAGTCGCAAATAATATTAAATGTGCCATGATAAAGACGAGCCTTTTCTGACTGACATTATCAGACCACACACTTGAATCTCGAGAAAAGGTCAAAGACAAAAGATAATTCCCACTTATGTTTGAGGGGAAATGAAAATGAGACTTTGCTCAAAGGGAAGGAAATGATCGAAAGCGTTCCGCAGGCCGCAGCTGGCGTGCTTTCAAGTCAGCGATCGGAGGAGAAGCTGGAATTTTGACCACTCAAACCATAATATTTAACAGATTTTTTAAGCTTTCAAGGGAAAGGGTGTTATTAAAATGTCAGCACCTCACAATGCCAGCTCTCTGAATAACTTATAACTTGGAAGTTATTGCCGTTGAAAGAAAGAAGAGGAATTATTACAGCAGTTGCGTAATTAACTTGGCTGTACAGCCGAAGGGTCCCTAGCAACCGCTCCTTAAAACACAGCTTTGAAAAGGGCTGAACGTCACGGGGAGGGGAGGGAGAGCAGGACCCATGCCACTTACGTGGGCACTTTTTGACACAGAAAGCGCCATAGGTATATTTGCCGTCTCGGTTGGTCTCCATCTGGAAGGTGGCCGGGTTGTACACGGAGGTCTGGGGGCACTGCGTGACGCAAGCGCCGCTGTCGTTGAAATTCAAGCACGCCTACAAGACAAGAAGAGAGGTCTGCCTCAGTGCTCTGGAGGAGGAGACTGAAGTACAATAAAGCTGACCCTTTCCAAAAGCAAATCTGTTTTACTGACTGGTACATAAGAACATAAGAGAAGCCGATGTTGGATCAGGCCAACGGCCCATCCAGTCCAACACTCTGTCACACAGTGGCCAAAAATACCAGGTGCCACCGGGAGGTCCAGCAGTGCCCCCCCCCCCGCAAGCACCAAGAATACAGCGCATCCCTTGCCCCAGACCGAGAGTTCCTATCTATACCTTGTGGCTAATAGCCACTGGTGGACCTCTGCACCATATGTTTATCCAGTTCCCTCTTGAAGCTGTCCATGCTTGTAGCTGCCACCACCTCCTGTGGCAGTGAATTCCACGAGTTAATCACTCTTTGGGTGAAGAAGGACTTCCTTTTATCTGTTCTAACCCGACTGCTCAGCAATTTCATGGAGTGCCCATGAGTTCTTGTATTGTGAGAAAGGGAGAAAAGTACCTCTTTCTCTACCTGCTCTTTCCCATGCATAATCTTATAAACCTCAATCATGTCACCCCTCAGCCGTCGTTTCTCCAAGCTAAAGAGCCCCAAGCGCTTTAACCTTTCCCCATAGGGAAAGTGTTCCAACCCTTTTATCATTATAGTTGCCCTTTTCTGCACTTTTCCCAATGCTATAATATCCCTTTTGAGGTGTGGTGACCAGAACTGTACACAGTACTCCAAATGAGGCCGCACCATCTATTTATACAGGGGCATGATGATACTGGCTGATTTGTTTTCAGTTCCCTTCCTAATAATCCCCAGCATAGTGTTGGCCTTTTTTATTGCAGTCACAGGAGTTATCTGCTGCGACTCCAAGACCTCTCTCTTGGTCAGTCTCTGCCAGTTCAGACCCCATCCACAAAACCCTTATTCAGGGGCTTGTCACGCCTAGTAAATAATAGTCAGTTGCATCTAAAGAGTCACTCGGATATTTTCATTAAGTTAAAAGCATGGCCTGGTCTGAGCAAGGTCTTCCAGCACCTGGTGGGGAATTTCCTGGATCTCTGGGGTACAGCAAGGAGAGCAGCATTTGGAGAAGGAGAACATAAGAGAAGCCATGTTGGGTCTGGCCAATGGCCCATCCAGTCCAACACTCTGCGTCACACACAACAGCCAAAACCCAGGGGCCATCAGGAAGTCCACCTGTGGGGCAAGAATCCAGAAGTCCTCCCACTGTTGCCCCCCCCCAGCAGCAAGAATACAGAGCATCACTTCCCCAGACATAAGACCATGAGAGAAGTCATGGTGAATCAGGCCAATGGGCCATCCAGTCCAACACTCTGGGTGCGTTCAGACATGGCGTTTGACAGGTGTTAGCCGTCTGAACGCCGTTAAGTACAACGATTGCAACCGGCACAGATTCCATTGTAAAGCCCCCGTCTGAACGCACCCTCTGTGTCGCACAACAGCCAAAACCCAGGGGCCATCAAGAGGTCCACCAGTGGGGCCAGAACTCCCACTCTTCCCCCCCCCAAGCACCAAAAATACAGAGCATCACTGCCTCAGTCATAAGAACGTAGGAGAAGCCATGTTGGATCAGGCCAGTGGCCCATCCAGACCATTTTCCAGCCATTTTTTCCACTCGTTCCTCAGTTTCTTGAGGGGAGGGGGATTGGATCTGAGAGCGGGGGGGGTGGAAATGGGAAGCCTCGTGAGATGGTAAGGTTCTAAGCACAGGCTTTTCTGCCTCTCCCAAAGGATGCAGCTTCCCCCTCCAGTGCCCCTCCACAGTGCAAAATACTGACCCACAGAATTTCTGCCTGCCTCAACACTTTGCATCAAAGCTGGGTTCAAACCCCGGGCACCAGGAGCTGTAGGGAAGTTCGGAGACATGGCACAGGCTTCTCTTTAGTAAGAAACCTGTGCTGACCCCCATCTACATGGCCAGCGTAACTAAATATGATGTTCTGGCATGGTCGAAATGGGGCTCGTTAATAGAACACTTAGGAAGAAAAATGTCTACATTGGTAATGGAGTGATTAACGCACAAAAGGATAATTAGAGACCTGCTTGAATCAACGGGAGCATCTACAGGAATCTTTCTGTTTTTGGACTGAGGTCTCAAGGAAGCCTTTTAAGAGCTGAAGAGCCCTTGGACTCCAGTTTAATTCCAACGTTCACGCTCTAAATAGCTCTTCATACTCCAGTGACAGGCATGGCTTGGCTTTTGAGGACGCTCCCACAGATGAAGACGTGGGGATGCACAGGGAAGGCAGGCGGGGGTGGGCCAGAGGCCTTTTCTAGTCATTTTCACAGTGAGACGTTGAAGGCTATAGGAAGCAGGCATTATGTACCAAGACTTCCCTTAATAAATAATAAACTATTTTTTAAAAAAATTCATGCAAAACAGAACTCCTTTATTTCTTTTCCTCAAACCATTGGCTTTAACCAGTGTTGTCCTTTGAGGTACCTTATCATCATAATAAAATTGCTTAATGACTTTAAAATAAATATTTTTAAATGAGCTGAAAGCCTCCCAAAAATAATCTTTTTAAAATCAATCTGGGATACTCAGTATATATTTTAATGTGTGGCATCAGGGCTCTTTTTGTAGCAGGAACTCCTTTGCATATTAGGCGACACACTCCTGATGTAGCCAATCCCCCAAGAGCTTACAAAAAGAGCCCTGTCTGTCTGTCTGTCTGTCTAATCTATCCTATCTATCTAATCTATCCTATCTATCTAATATCTATCTATCTATCTATCTATCTATCTATCTATCTATCTATCTACCTACCTACCTACCTACCTACCTACCTACCTAATCTATCTAATCTATCCATCCATCCAAGGCTCTTTTTGTAGCAGGAACTCCTTTGCATATTAGGCGACACACCCCTAATGTAGCCAATCCCCCAAGAGCTTACAAAAAGAGCCCTGTATCTTTCTGTCAGTCTGTCTGTCTATCTAATCTATCTAATCTAATCTAATCTAATCTAATCTAATCTTATCTATCTATCTATCTATCTATCTATCTATCTATCTATCTATCTATCTATCTAATCTACCTACCTACCTACCTATCTAATCCATCCATCCATCCAAGGCTCTTTTGGTAGCAGGAACTCCTTTGCATCTTAGGCGACACACCCCTAATCTAGCCAGTCCTCCAAGAGCTGACAGTAGCCTCTGTAAGAAGAGCTCCATAAGCTCTTGGAGGATTGGCTACATCAGGGGTGTGTGGCCTAATATGCAGAGGAGTTCCTGCTACAAAGAGAGCCCCGCTCAAAGTCTTGGTTTGGTGGGAAGTGCCGTCACGTCACAGCTGACTTACGGTGACCCCTCACGGGAGGTTCAAGGCAAGAGACGTCCAGAGGTGGTTTGCACCATTGCCGGCCTCCACGCCACGACCCTGGTCTTCCTCGGAGGTCTCCCACCCAAGTACTTGCCAGGGCCGACCCTGCTTAGCTTCCCAGATCTGACGAAATCAGGCAGGCCTGGGCCATCCAGGTCAGGGACTAACTCCTTGTTTGTTGTTGTTGTTCAGTCGCAGCGTCGAGTCCGACTCTTCGCGACCCCATGGACCTCATCACGCCAGGCCCTCCCATCTTCCGCCGTCTCCCAGCGCCTGCTCAACCTCATGCCCGTTGCATCGATGACACTGTCCAACCATCTCATCCTTTGCCGTCCCCGTCTTCTTTGACCTTCAATCTTTCCCAGCATCAGGGTCTTCTCCAGTGAGTGCTCCCTTCTCATTGGGTGGCCAAAGTATTTGAGCTTCAACTTCAGTCTCTGCCCTTCCAGGGAACAGTCAGGGTTGGTTTCTTTTAGGATTGACTGATTTGATCTCCTTGCTGTCCAAGGGACTCTCAAGAGTCTTCTCCAGCACCATAATTCAAAAGCCTCTATTCTTTGGCGCTCAGCCTTCCTTATAGTCCAACTCTCGCAGCCATACATGACTACTGGGAATACCATTGCTTTGACCATGCGGACGTCTGTTGGCAGGGTGATGTCTCTACTTTTTATTATGCTGCCTAGGTTTGCCATCACTTTCCTCCCAAAGAGCAGGCATCTTTTAATTTCATGGCTGCAGTCACCGTCTGCAGTGATCTTGGATCCCAGGAACGTGAAGTCTGTCACTGCTTCCATGACTTCTCCTTCTATTTGCCAAGGAGTGATGGGGCCGGGGTCTTTGTTGGTTGGTGGCCCTCTCCCAGGCTTCACATTTGCAAGGCACAACTACCCCATGGACTGGGGGGAGCTACTCAAGATATGTAAACTGGTGTTAGAATGGCACAACCGCCTTTTGAATACATGAAGTTGCATTATACTGAATCAGACCATTGTTCTATCAAGGTCATTATTGTCTACTCAGACTGGCAGCAACTCTCCAGGGATCTCAGACAGAGGTCTTTTGCCTCAGCTTCTACCCAATCCTTTTAACTGGAGATGCTGGGGATACATGCTTAGACCTTCTGCATGCTAAGCAGATGCTATATTGGCCCAGCCCATGGACAACGCCTTTTGAGTGACACCTTGGCCAGTGCTGCTCTAGGAAGTTGGTGAATTAAAACTTGCCTACTAGGCATAATGGGGACTGCTCTGTTTAATCACATATAATGATGTGCAAACTCCATTAGGTCCAGTTCAATAAACTGAGTTATTCCCTCCACCCAAATTTAAAAACACACACACACACACATACACACACACTTAGAATCTCTACTGACTTCCACATGGAATCATCTATAGTGCAGGGCGATTTCTGAATATCACCCTTCCAAGCCCTTAGCTCCCTAGCTCCCCACCTTCCCATGGCCTGCCCTGTCCTGGAGACAGCACAGAGAGATCTGGTGGGCTTCCTCTAGGCACCTGGGACGTTAAAGTCTCAAGGGCTCAGAGCCAAGGCTCCTAAACTGATCGGGAAAATTCTGAGGGCCTTGGGTTCCATTGCAAAATCCGCCCCCTCCCATCCTTCTGTCTGTCAATGCTGTTCAAACAGCAGAAAGTACCAACAAGCCAGTTGAGTGGAATGGGGAAGTGGGGAGGGGCGGGACTTCCTCACATGTGCAAATTATGACCCAATCCAGAGAGCAACCCAGGGAGGGGAACGACTTTGGACACCAGAAACAAAGAGATACGCTCCAGCTCTTTCTTCTTCAGTGCGTTACCAACCAAAACAAATCAAACTCTCAGTTCCATGAGTTTTGTCAGTGAAGAACTAATGCTTTCATGACATTCAGAGCCTTAAATTCAGGGGATGTTAATTCCTTGCTAGGTTGGTGCTCTACTCTGAGTCCATATGGAGCAGAGGTCCATCAGCGGCTATTAGCCAGAAGGTGTAGATAGGAACTCTCGGTCTGGGGCAAGGGATGCTCTGTATTCTTGGTGCTTGCGGGGGGGGGGGAGGCACTGCTGGACCTCCCGGTGGCACCTGGTATTTTTGGCCACTGTGTGACAGAGTGTTGGACTGGATGGGCCATTGGCCTGATCCAACATTGGCTTCTCTTATGTTCTTATGTTCTGTTTAAATGACATCAAGTTAGCGCTGAGACCATTTTCAAGTTCATGGACAGAACTTCCAAGCACCACTCTTCTGAACTCAAACAGAAATAGAACATTTGCGGGTGTGTATTTTGAGTCCGATGCTTCACTCATCTTAGCTCTGTCATATTCCATTATCTCCCCCGACTGGGGGCCCCCGAATCCCCACTGGACAAGTGCATACGCAGCTTTCAAGTGTGATAACAGTTTATGCTGATTATTGATTAACACAACTCAGTCGTGGCCAATCTAATTCTTTCAATCGTGTCCTCCCGGGAGAGGCTGCAAACAGAGATGCGCCGGGGCGGAAGCCGTACAGAAATCAATGGGACTCGCTTCCAGGGAAATGCGCTTCATATTTTGGCAAAAAAGATCTTACGTTCTCTTCTCAGAAAACACGACGGGTGTGCCTGCGTGTGCATTTTGAATCACGTTGCCCACATCTTGTAAATGTTCATTTCAGGAAAGCAAAAATGTATTTTTACTTAAGATAAAAATCACACCAATTAGCATATAAATGGCCTCAAATCTCTATTTGCAAATCTCATAAATGTTTTAATGGGTGAAATAAGCTGATAAGTAGAAGAGATGTAATGGAAAAAGAAGAATGCTAAAATGTCTAGCAAGTATCTTTTGCTATTGATGTGGTATAATTGAGGAGCCCAGATTTCCCCTCCCCCCCCCCAATTCCTTGGAGTAAGAATAAGAACGAGCAGAGCTGCTGGTGGAGTGGGAGAAATACGAGGTGGCCGATACGTACAAAGCAGTCCGTGTCCTTGGGTCCGGAGCAGCCTCCTGCGCATTCACGGTGGCAGCATTCACTGACGGAGCGCCCATAGCAGCGCCCATCACACTGCTCGGCACACACCATCTTTGTCACTGGAGGGGGCGAGAAAATCAGACGGATCAGCAGAGAAAAGAAAGAACAGAGCTGGAGCTGAAGACAGAGGAGTAGGACACCATGAGAACAGAACCTGAAAGAGGCAGCATCCACATGTCTATGGATTACTTACATCAACAGATCAAACAGTACATCGGTTGTCCATTAGAATTACAGAATCATAGAGTTGGAAGGGATCTCCAGGGTCATCTAGTCCAACCCCCTGCATGAAATTCGCAAATACCTCCCCCTCCACACCACCAGTGACCGCTGCTCCACACCCAGAAGATGACAAAAAAACCCCTCCAGGATGGCTTTCTGACCCCAAAGTGGTGATCAGCATTTCCCTGGGTGTGTAAAAAAAGGGCCATGAGAACTAAGCACTGAGGTGACCCTTCCTGCCCTCCCTCTCATGATCTGCCTAAGTTGACAGAATCAGCATTGCTGACACATGGCCATCTAGCCTCTGTTTGAAAACCTCCAAAGAAAGGAGAGCCCACCACTTCCCGAGGAAGCCTGTTCCACTGAGGAACCACTCTAACTGTCAGGAAGTTCTTCCTAATGTTTAGCTGAAAACTCTTCTGATTTAATTTCAACCCACTGGTTCTGGTGCGACCTTCTGGGGCAACAGAAAACAACTCTGCCCCATCCTCTATATGACAGCTCTTCAAGTACTTTAAGATGGTTATCATATCACCTCTCAGTCGTCCCCTCTTCAGGATAAACATATCCAGCTCTTTCAACCTTTCTTCATAGGACTTAGTTTCCAGACCCCTCACCATCTTTGTTGCTCTCCTCTGGACACGTTCCAGCTTGTCTATATCCTTCTTAAATTGTGGTGCCCAAAACTGAACACAATACTCTGGGTGAGGTCTAACCAGGGCACAGTAAAGTGGTACCATCACATCTCGTGATCGGGACACGATACTTCTGTTAAAACAGCCCAAAATCACATTTGCCTTTTTAGCAGCCACATTGCACTGCTGACTCATGTTCAATGTATGTGTCCCGTTCCCGACGTCTGGGACCAGGGGACCCTGGGGGAGGCGCGAGGAGAAGGAAGGCCCCCGACCCCCGTGCTGACTCACCCAGCAACGGTCGCCCAGCAGACCCGGACGCGGCAGCAGGAGAACCGAGGAGCGGACGCGCCATAGGCAGGCGACACGGCCCGAGGGGAGCCGCGAGCGAAGGGAGCCCTGGGAACGCCTCTGGAACCGGCATGGAGGGCTGGGAATCGTGCGGCGGCGCCGGCGGCGCAGCTGAGGAGCCGCTGAGATCGCCGCCGGCAAACCAGGTCGCGGGAGGGGCCTCCTCCTCCATATAAAGGGGGGCGGGGCTTTCTCTCAGGGCGGAAAGGGGCGGCACCGGGTGTACGGAAAGAGGAATAAAAGGCCGGCAGAGGAAGGGACCGGGGAGGAGGTGATGCGGTAGCGACCCAGGTACCGAGAGAGAGAGAAACGAAGGGTATCACAGCATCCAGACAGAGAGACTGCGGGGGTGCTGTTAACCCCGTCTCCTGTCAGTCTGAGGTCCCGAGCTCTCTGGGGATTCCCTTGCCGATCTTCGGGAGTCGCCCCTCCGTCCGGGATACCCCACCGGTGTCACGGCCTCTGGGTGAAGCACGAGCCTGACAGTATGGTCTACTAAGACCCCTAGATCCCTTTCACACATAATACTGCCAAGACAAGTCTCCCCCAACCTATAATTATACATTTGATTTTTTTCCCCTACCTGAATGCAGAACTTTACATTTATCCCCATTGAAATTCATTACATTTCTTTTAGCCCAGTTTTCCAGCCTGACACAATCATCCTGTATCCCAGCTCTGTCTTCTCCCGTATTTGCTACCCTTCCCAATTTAGTATCATCTGCAAATTAAATAAGCATTCCCACTATCCCTTCATCCAAACCATTGATAAAGATGTTGAACAAAACAGGTCCCGGGACAGATCCTTCACTCCAATCGTCACTCCTGTCCAAGAAGATGAGGAACCATTCACAAGTACTCTTAGGGTGCAAACTGTCAACCAGTTACAGATCCACCTAAAAGTCATAGGATCCAAACCACATTTTTCCAATTTGTCTACAAGAATATTATGTGGAACCTTATCAAAAGCCTTACTGAAATCAAGATAAACTATGTCGACAGCATTCCCCTGGTCCAGCAAGGTCGTAACTTTCTCAAAAAAAGAGATAAGGTTAGTCTGACATGACTCATTCTTGAGAAACCCATGCTGGGCCTTAGTCATTACAGCCATCCTTTCTAAATACTCAAGGACTGTCTGTTTGATTATTTGTTCTAAAACTTCCCCAGGTATAGGCATCAAGCTGACAGGTCGGTAGTTACCCGGATTCTCCTTTTTCCCCTTCTTGGAGATGGGGACAACATTTGCCCGCCTCCAATCTTCTGGCACCTCACCTGTTCTCCAAGAATTCTCAAAAATAATGGATAGAGGCTCAGAAATTACATCCGCGAGTTCTTTTAGTACCCTTGGTTGCAGCTCATCTGGCCCCGAAGACTTCATTTCATTTAAAGAAACTGTTTATGTACTACCCCTATGTTGATCCTAGTCTGCAACTCCATCCCCTCATCATGTGTTCTGTTTTTGCCACGTTGAGCACCATTTCCTTTGCAAGAGAAGACTGAGGAAAAGTAGGAATTGAGCAGTTCTGCCCTCTCTTCATCACCTGTTACCATTTCACTTTCCTGTTCCTGCAATGGGCCTACCATGTCCTTGCTCTTTTTCTTACTTTGAACATAAGAAAAAGAAGCCTTTTCTGTTGTTTTTAGCGTCTCTTGCTAGCCTAAGCTCACACGGAGCTTTTGCTTTCCTGACTCTCTCTCTACAGACACTGGTTATTAGTTTATATTCATCCTTGGTTATAAGGCCCTCCTTCCACTTTCTGAATGAAACTTTTTTTATTTTTCAAGTCCTTAGAAAGCTGTTTATGGAGCCACCATGGCTTCTTTAGGCTCCTCCCATTTCCCCATCTCATAGGAATCATTTGTTAATTAATTAATTCCACAGCTTAGAAACAGTTAAACCGAGATGGCTAGACATGTTAGTCTGTCCGTAGCAGTAGAAAAAAAGCAAGAGTCCAGGAGCACCTGAAAGACTAATAAAAATTGTGGCAGGGAAGGAGATTCTGTGAGTCACTGCTCACTTCTTCAGATAGATCAAGATGGGCAGCTTTGTTCGTCCATCTGTAGCAGTAGAAAAAAAACAAGAACCCAGAAGCACCTGAAAGACTAATAAAAATTGTGGCAGGGAAGGAGATTCTGTGAGTCACTGCTCACTTCTTCAGATAGATCAAGATGGGCAGCTTTGTTCGTCCATCTGTAGCAGTAGAAAAAAAACAAGAACCCAGAAGCACCTGAAAGACTAACAACATTTGCGGTAGGGGAGGAGCTTTCTGAAGAAGTGAGCAGTGACTCAGGAAAGCTCCTAGGGTGCCACAAATTCTGTTAGTCTTTAAGGTGGTGCTACTACACTCTGGCTATCTATCTGTCTGTCTGTCTGTCTATTGGCACAAAGTTACACTAAGAGATTATCTGGCATGCTTATTTTTGTCGTTGTTCAGGTAATGAGTTAAATGAATGTATGCAAAACACTGTGGGTTTTATTTGATATATACATTACCAGTTTTAAGTGTCTCTGTACAGTACTTTTGCTTTAGAGAAGTGTCTTTGATATTTTTGCAAAAATATCATTCTACCTCGGGATTTAGTCGTATCTGGGAACCAGGGTGGCTGTTGGCAGTGGTGTGACATTACTTCCAGAAGAAACCCAGAAGAGATGTCACACCTCTCTAGGAATCCAGAAAATACTAAAGAGGCATGACACCATTTCCAAGTTTCCCCAGAAGTTCCCCAGGTTTCCCCCAGACGTGATGTCAAACTGAACAGCAGTCTTTGTTATTATTGTTTTTCTCCCACCGCTGGGGGGCTAGTGATCCTGCTCCCAGAGTACCACGTCTGTTTCCCGTTGTTGTTTTTAATGTGCAGCACATATCCTCAAGTTAAAATACACAGGGGCCCTGACTGCACTAGCCGTTCCTTTTCTAGGTTTCCAGGTTCAGTAACTTGGGGAAGGGAATTTGTGGCTCTGGTACTCCTAGCCTGCTTCTTGTTCAGATGAGACACAGGACAGGATTAGTAGGGCTGGAAACATGCCAGCAGAATTGGGGAAAGATGGGGGGCTATTAAAGAGAACCCCACCCCTCCCAAGCAGGGTTAGGCCATGCACTGATGAAGAGCGGAGAGGGGGGTGAGCTGTGAGGGAGTGTGTGGAGGGGGTTGGAGGGAGTTGAATGTATCGACAGGGAGAGATGTGAAACTGGGAGGATGGAAAATATCAGAACAGACCAGTCCTCCCCCCACCATTTTTTCTCAGGGCTCCCCCCCCCCAATTTTTCCGAAGGAAAATCTGAAAAAAATGTGGAGTACTAAAAATAAAATAAAAAATCCTATGAAATATTTTCTCTTTTAGAATGAGTGAAAACACTTTTAAAAACACGATGGGCATGCTGGAGACATTCTCCTCTTTTTAAATCCAGGATACCAAATGTTGAAACTCACTCCCCGGGGAGATTGGTGTGTCTCTCTTCATCTGTGTCTTCCACCAGCAGATGGAGACTGTTTTGCTTAGTCTGGCATACTCCCAAAAACATCAGCGTCCCTCCTCTTATACTGTTATGTGTGTTTATTGAAATATGTTATGACTTTAAATGTTGTTTTTAATTGTTCAAACGTTTCAATGCTATTTATGTGTACTACCTTGGGGAACCTGATTGGATGAAAAGGCATAATAACAATAATAATAATAATAATAACCATCTGATATAATGTAATCATCCTTTAAATTGTATTAATGGCTGTACATCACCTAGAGCCTTACATCATAGGGAAAATAATAATAATAATAATAATAATAATAATAATAATAATAATAATAATAACTACTACTACTACTACTACTACTACTACTACTACTATAC